ATCGTTTTGATTTATCTGCACCATCTATACTACCATCATCTTTAAAACCATAAACACTATCATCATCTTCTTCTTCATCTTCATTTTGTTCAGATTTATTATTTTCATCTTCATCATTATCCTCTTCGTTATCCTCCTCTTCATTTTCTTCATCACTATAAACAATACCATTTGCTCGTCGTTTTTTTGATGATCGTTTAACCATTCGGTCAAGATTTAACATAACATTAGCTAAACGATTTGTTCGTTTTGACATACATTGTGTACGTTTTACTTCAAGTTCTTCATATTCTTTCAATAGTTGAATATATTTTACAACTAAATTATCTGATAAACGTTTATGTTCACATAATGGACAATACCAATCTCCATCAGGTACAGATAATAAAATTGGTTTAAGACATTCTAAATGATAAGCATCATCGCAATCATCACATAATAATAATGATTCGGGTCGATCAGTTTTTGAACAAACACAACATGCACTTGATGGAGATTGTAACTCTTCCGTATTGTTTTCATTCATTTGTCCACGACGTTTAGCAACAGTTTTAGCTGAACGACGTGGAACAAATTCTTCATCATCATCTTCTTTTTCTAATAAATCATCATCATCAAGTTCATCTAATTGTTTATCTGTTTGAAGATAATCATCGGAATTATATTCATCTTCTTCTTCTTCCGATGGCTGATGTTCATCATCACTCGACGATGAAATACTATTTACAGATGATTTGCGTTTACGACCACGTTTACGACGACTATTACTTTTTGATGATTGAGAACATACTTTAATATTTGTTTGACTAGAAGATTTGCACTTTCCATTCATTAATTTCTTTTTCGATGGAGTCTAAATTTTATTAAGATAAAAATAGGTTAGACAAAAACTATAATAGATTCTTACTTGTGACACAGATTTTGCTGGACTAGATGTAACTGAAGGAATTTGTTCATTTGTTGGTGGTTTTCTAACACGTCTTGATCGACGTAATGCAATAGGTAAATCATCTTTAAAAATTAAATCATCATCTATTGGAATTTGATTTAATATATCTTTATCTTGACTAGTTTCATCATTCTTTTTGATATCTATATCATCATCAATAATTTGTTTACGTTTTCGTCCTTTCGTTGGTGTTTTTATTGTTTGAATATCTTGTTCATTATTATCATCATTTTTTTTTGATGTATTCGATATTGTACGTCGTTTTTTCTTACTCCAAGTTGCTGATTTTTTTCGACCTCGACTTTTTTTTGTCGGAGGACTTTTAAGTTCTTCATCTTCTTGATTATTATTGATTTCTTGTGATATTACATTTGGATTTGTGTCTTCTGATGAAACTATACGTGAACGTTGACCATTTTTCTCGTCTGAATGTGTTGATTCATGATCAGATGGTACTTCAGTTTTGACTGCTGCTGGTGGTACAACGGATTTTTTAGATTTAAGAATAGATTTTTTTTCGACTTTTACTGGTGATGCTTAAATATATATATATAATTTTATATTGTTTTTAATTCAAAATATATATTTTACCTGCTGGAGATAGCGTTGGGCTAATTGTTTTTAATTCTTCTTTTTTTATATTAACAGATAGTGGGATATAACGTTGTTCAAATTCGTTCGATGGTTCCAAGGAATTGAAAGATTCATGAGTCAATTTCCAATCTAAATAGATACCATTTTTTTATAAAACAAATTTTCTTGATAGAAAAATTTTTTTTACCAGGAAATTTCTTTCGGACAGCATGATCGGTAATAAGAAGTTTAATTACATTTTCTAATTCATCTTTATCTCTAAAAGAAAAATTTGAATTACTTCACAAAAGCAAAAAATAATTAACTAACGTAGCAATATTAGTCCATGTTCGATCCTCGTCAATATTTTCTCGAAATAAACGTATAAAACATTCACTATCCTAAAAGATATAAATAAGAAAAATTTTTTTTTCATAAAAATCTCTTTTTTTTTATTTACCATAAATAACCAATATGATGCACCAGAACGATCGCGACCAAATGATTGTGATCGAATTTCAAATGATTGTTTTTCAAGTAAAGCTGTTTTAAACCCTTGATTAAGATCAAATTGTGTTTCCAATAAATTCTAAAAATACCAATCATATGTGTAACGAGAAAGGAAAGAATGAAGCCGAAATAGATCCTTGCATGACTACTTGTAATTTTTTATAGTATGTAATTAGATACAGTAGTACTACCAAAGAATTTTATGCATTTATAATTGAATCGATAGGAATGTTCTCTATGTATCAAAAATGGGAAATTACTCATAACTAACTGAATACGTGTCCGATTATCTTTAGAAAAATTTTCGTTACTTTTAAAATACGTAGTTTAATATCAATTTGTGCTTGTGAATATCCATTTGCTTTTAAATATTCTCCATCATCATAATCAAAACGATATGCAAACTATAATGAAATATATTGATTTATAGAAACAACAAAAATTATCTTAGTATTACTTTAGTAATAATTGGAACAAATTTATCTCGTTGTGCACCTTTACCTAATGATATTCGTTTTAATAAAGTAAGATGAAAGTCAATTAAACGTCGACTAACTATAAGAAGAAATAAATAGATTGAAATTGAAGAAAAATTTATATATTTATTTACTATTGTCTTGATCACTTAAAAGATTTTCTTCAAGTAAATGTAATGGATAATCTTGTATATCAATATTTGAACGGAATTTATCCAAAAAAGCAAGTATAACACCATATTCTGGATTATTTAATAAACTTAAACGTCGTTGATCGTAATTTAGAAGAATTTTTTGTTTATCGTCCGATGATGAATCAACCGTATTCGAAGGTGTATCATTATCATTTGTATCCATTGGTATTGATTCGTCTTTAATAAGACTCGGAGCAGCTAGTATTGGATCTTCTTTTTCTTCATTCATTTTGTCTAAATCAATAGATAATTATATCATCCATCTACATCAAAACGACGAAAAGACAAAATCATTCAACAATTCAAATAACCATCATCATATGTGTTTGTATTGTAATGTTTTCATTGGTTGAAAATCAAAGGTCTTTGTTTTAAATAATAAAATAGAATGTGGCACCATCTAAAATAAATATGATATTAAAAAAATTCTTTTTTTAATTAATTTAAATAGGAAAAATAATAAAATATATTTTTTTTTATTATTGGCTACGGGATCTTTCAAATAATAAAATAACAATTACGAATTTTTCTTTCTGAATCATTAAATTGATTACTATGATTTTATTCATTTATGCATTTGATATTCATTGAATATATTTCAAAGATATTTGATATATTTCTAACTGAAATTTATTGTGATATATAACTCTGAAATATAAATCAGAATAAACACAGTTCTTACAGCGACATCTTATGTTTTCTATTAATGAATATTCTTAGGTCAAACGGTCATGAACGGAAAAAGAAAGAAACTATATTTTTATTAATATGCATGAAAGTGAACCATTTTTATCTGATATTCGATTTAATCTTTGTCAAATTGAAAATATAGTAATATATGTACTATTAATCATTCTAAAAATATACTAAATGAAATGGTTCATTTACTATGCTTTTAGTTGAATGTTTCACATCACCTGTATGTGCAAAAAACACATACTAACCGTTGAAAAATAATTCATGTTAGATATCATAGTGGGATTTTGTGATATTTAAAATTCTTTTCTTTGATATGCTTATAAGTACATCTAAAATATTACAAAAGTTAACTATTCATGTAATGTTTAGTGTCTCCTGTTATAAAGCGAATACTTAGCTGTACAGACAGTTTTAATCGCTTATATCTGGATTTAGATTTTTCAGTGTATTGCGACATGATCTATTTCATTAAAGAGATTTATCCAGCGGGGAGGGGGGGGGGCACGGGGCTTTTTGCCCTCTCGGAGAGTGCCCCTCCCCCCACGGAATTCAACAAAATTACACTTTTTGAGTCTGAAACTCTACGTCTGCCCCCCCCCCCTCCAGAAGAAAGATTTTTGCCCTCCCGGCAGTTAATTTCGCACCCTCGAACGAAAAAACCTGGATAAAACACTGATCATGCAAACTTGTATCAGAACTCTTTCTATATATTCAATACAATTTTACATTCAATGTAATCTATCACTGTGATATAGCGCCATCATTCGTATGAAATTCAACGAATACATATATAAAATTTCAATTAAATCTATAATTTAGTATAGTTCTATGAGATATTTATAAATGATCTAAGTAGATAAATTCGAAGTCAAATATTAATATATAAATTAGTCATGTTTGTTTGTCGCCACATTATACGCCGTCATATTTTATATCAACATAAAAGGAAAAAACATGGATTGTTCCACAATCTAGAATGTTGTTTTTTTTCTGTGTAATATTGATTCATAGAATTTTGCTTTATATATTATTTCACCATCATATACAAATACTTATCTTTTTTAGAACATTGTCTATTTCGACATTAACTTTACTTTTTTTTCTTGTGTATTAATCAATAATGCAACTTCAAATAAAGACACTTTCAAACGAAAAATTTACAATTGAATGTGAATTAACTGATACGGTAATTTTTTGTTTTAAATTCATTCTCATTTGTAGTTATTATTTTTTTGTGTATTTAGGTAAAAACAATAAAAGAAAAGATCGCAGCAAAAGATCTTAAAGATAAATATGAGGCTGATGCAGTAAAATTAATTTTTTCGGGAAAAATTCTCGAAGATTCGAAAACACTTGAATCTTATTCAATAAATCAAGAAAGTTTTCTTGTTGTTGTCAAACAAGCAACACCTAAAGCTACACCAGTAAGTTGGAATTTCATATTTAAATTAAATAACTTTTTTTTCTCTATAGTCATCTGCAAGTTCCAGTGCACCAAGCAATCCTACTCCACCTCCAAGGTTTTTATTTATAAAATTTTTATTTTATTATGCATATCTATTTAAATTCTCTCTGTTTTAGTTCACAAACTCGCCCATCGAATGTTGCAGCACCAGCTCCAAGTTCAGCTTCACAACCACAACAACAACAACCAACACGGCCAGCTCCACCAACTGGTAATGCACCAGCTGCTTCACAAGATTCATTTTTATCAGCTGAAGCTCGTGAAAAAGCTTTAAGCGAATTGACTGATATGGGTTTTGAACGCGCACAAGCTGAATTAGCATTACGCGCAAGTTTTTATCATGTAGAACGTGCTGCTGAATATTTAATAACAGTAAATTAATAGATAGATTCGTAAAGAAATTCATTTTTTATTTAATATTATATTTTCATTTAGGGTCACATTCCTAATGTTCATGAAGGACAAACATCAAGTCAAGAAGGCGGATCAGGACAAACACCTAGTGGCTCAGAAAGTTCAGCTGGCGGTCGACGAGCTGGCGGAGGTAAAAAAATTATATCCATCTTGGATAATTTCACAAAACTATTTACATAAGATTTTTTCCCATGACGACAAATAATTCTTTGCTGAATAAATTATGTTAAAAACAAATTAGATGTTCTATTTGAGTTATTTCGAATGACATACGAGAAAATCCCTTTTCTATTTCTTATTGACATACAAAATGTTTTTAGTAGAAGACTTATCTGAATTGAGTCAAAATCCACAATTTCAAGCATTACGTCAATTAATTCAACAAAATCCTGAACAACTTCAAACACTTATGCAAACATTACAAGCAAATCAACCAGAACTCTATCAAGTAAAATTAATTTGAAAAATGAAATTTCTATATTGATTTCTTTTCTTTTTCTATAGTTAATTGAACAACGACCACAAGAATTTCTTGAATTATTAAATCAAGCTGAGGAAGGTGACGAAGGTGCTGATGATGATGATCCATTACAAGGTGGTCTTGGTGCCGGAGGTGCTGGTGGTCAAGGTCCTCCAGGAACAGTTACAATCACATTATCACCACAAGATCAACAAGCAATAAATAGAGTATGTTATTAATTGAATTACATTTTAATATAATAAAATATTTCTCGTTTAGTTACAAGATATGGGCTTCGAACGCAATCGTGTTATTGAAGCATTTCTTGCTTGTGATCGCAATGAAGAATTGGCAGCTAATTATCTCTTAAGCAGTTTCGATTAAAAAAAGACTCTAAACAATTTGTTATATTATTCTTGACATACATTAAAGTATGCGTTAAAATTCATTTTTTTTTCTTGTGTAACTGTACAAAAAAAGAAGAACATCAGCATACATTTATCCCATCTTTTTTTTGCTCCAAAATATATTTCCGCTTACATTACGCTTGTCATTCTGGTTTGTTCTTTATTTCTCTTTAGCTCATTATAACTTCTTATTGAAAAAAAAAACTAAACAAGAAAATGCAGCATTTTTCTTTTCTTTCTCTCTCTTTATTATCGCCGGTGTTTATTTTTGCTGTCTGTTTTCTCTTCGCTATTCAAAATTGCTCTAGTATAAACTTTGTTCTTAAATTGAAATTAACAGCTAGGAAAAAAACATCTATCAAATATGAAACAAATAGGTATCCGCTCTTATTACTGTATGTACAAGCTCAATGATCGAATAAAGACAACAAAATATACTATATGATACGTTATACATCACTAGTTTAAAATACGCTTTATCGTAATAGAAAATAAGGTGTAGGTGGCTATGTTCTCCTGCGTCACACCCACACCCACACCCTTGCAATCACAAGTCAATCCTCTTGATAGGCATCAGTTGAAAAGGAAATCGACGTATGAAACTAATATTATTATCGAGTGACTTTTTAGGATAAGAATTAATTACAGAAAAAAAAATCATTTGTCCATCTTAATAAATTACAGAATTGAACAAGTTCTAATTTTCGATCGTTTTTTATATCTATCAGGTTTTGATGATGCTAATGATATTGATGAATTTTCCAAAATATTGGTTGTTGATAATACTTTTTCTACTTCAAGTTGAAATCGAATAAATTCATGAATTGATATTTGAATATCTGAAATATTTTCTTGTTTACATACATTATGTAAATCATTATTAAGTACGGCAATAGTTTCTGTAGAATTTTGTTTACAAAAATCATATAATTTCACAACACTTTGACCATCAAAATTAGCAAGTAATTTTAAAAAACCAGGTAAATCTATTCCTTGACACCAAGTAAGAACTTCTGTATTTGTCCAATTTTCTAAACTCATTATTTCTTTTGTACGTCGACGACGATTAAAATTTGTCGGAGTAGAACGTCTCTCCACATTTATATTCACATGTGCAGTATCAATTGTTTGCGTATTATCACTGTCATTTGGTGTTATACGTTTAAGTAATGTTTCTATGGCACGAATACGAATTTGTTCATTTTCTTCTTGATTATCTGTTAATGCCTGAACTTTCCATGAAAGAACACGACGGCCAGATGCTGTAGCATAGAGAAGTTCTGTACGACATCGATTATTTACTTGATATATATCACTAAGACAAATAATTAAATATTCTGTACCATTCATAATAGATATAAATGATGGAATAAAATGATCATTCATATGATCATATGTTGTCCATACACGATGACCATTTTTATTTAATTCTTGTTCAATCATCTGAACAATTTCATAATCAGATGGATCATAACTTATACCAATTGTTTTACCAAAATTATCACCAGTTGTTGATATACTCTAAGATATAATTTAGACATATATTGAATAGGAATTACACAGAGTTCAATTGATTTAGAAGACTATCAGTTTCTTACACGCTGTTAAGTCTTGTGAAGCAGAGCTAGGTCAAATACTCGAGAAAATTCCTACTTGCTCAGTCTTGCAAAGAGTCTGAGCCTCCTGTAGATTCATTATTCAAAAGATTTCTATTATCTTTATAAACATGATATGAAGATTGAATTGTTCTTCCGATAATTCATCTTTTTTCGCTATTCCACTAGTGTATACGTGCGTGATCATGATCAAAAAAGTCAATGACACAATACATTTGTCACGCAAGAATATTAATATACGATATATAGAAAAGACCGGAGGTATCAGAACATATCTCGTTGTGATAAATAGAATTTTTTGTAATGCACGTTTAAGTAATACTCAAGCTGTCAAATGTTTATGCATTTTAAAGTACACAGTCATATCAAAGTATTACGTGTGTTGTTGTATCATTTATTAGGTAATCAAAGCGTAGATTATTTTTATCAAAATTATTAATTATAAATTTGTGCATTGATCACATTTTAGACATAGGCGACACCATATCGGAATCGGGAAGTCTGTTTTCGATGCTCACAAAACTAAAACTATACAAGTCCGATACGATACTTAAAAAGTCAGATCTTATTTCGATCCGATCCCGATCTCAAGATACAAAAATTTTTGGTATCGTTGGGTTTTTGGATATATCCTTTTAAAAAATAAAATCTGAAATTAACTATTCCGGATTTGAATGATTTCATAGCATTACAAAATAATTAATAATAACAATTAAATATGTTTCATGTAAACGAAAAGAACGAGTAGAACTCATCCTACAAAATTCAGAGAATTTTGGCATAGGTGATTTTGATGCCGACCCTTAAAATTGATTTTCACGATTCCGATGCGATTCTAAAAAAACGTATTACTAGTTACAGTTCGGATCCGAGTCCAAAAAAATCTGATTTTTCCCATCCCTGTCATATCTATTCTCTCATTGTCATCTGTATTGAGATTCATATTCAAACTATTACTTACTTGAGATACATCTAATATATCTAGATTATACAATAATCCACATGTAGCTTGTTTAACCGATGATTCATTTGTAGTTGTATTAATATTTAGTATAATATTAAAAAAATCTTGGTCAGTTTCTTTTAAATTTTTTTTACAATTTTCATTAAATGATAATGACCATAAAATAGTCAATATAATCATTGTCGATTCATAATAAATTATATTCTCATATAAATTGTTTTTTTCATACAAAATAATAATATTTGTAAATAAATTTAAATAATGTGTAGCAATTATTTCTTGTATGTGTTCACATTTCATAATATGTATTATACTTTTAAAAAACATACTCATCGGAATACGATTATAATGATATGAATGAATATTTTCGAATGATATTTGTATATATGTTATACATTGAAGAAATAATGTTTGAGATAAATCATCATTTTTCGTACAACTTGTTAAAATAAGTAAAAATAATTGTGACATTATTGCTATACGACGATTACCATATTTTTGAGCGATATCAATTAGATTCTGAAGTTTTTTTATATAATTATCATCGAGTCGAAGAAATTGATGAATTAATAAACGATTATTAAAACAATAGATAATTAAATAACATATAATAGAATCAATTAATATTGTTTCATATGTTGACCAATTCAGACGTATATTTTTATAAAAATTTTCATGAAGAATTATTAAAAATAAATCAAATAATAATTGTTGATTATTATCATTATCAATAATTAATGTATAATTAACAAGATATGTAACAATACCTGTTACACAAGCTAAACTATTCAATGAATTTATTTGATTTTCATTTAAGAAAAAATGTATAAAAATATTATAACGTGATAAATATAATTCTAATAAAGTTTTTGCTTCTTCACATTCATTATCATCACAATTAACATGTGTACCCATTGCCATTGTACATATACATAAATAAAATCGATGTCGTACTGTTATTACCATTGACTGATTATTATCTAGTGCAAATAAACTTCGTTCATATTCATTTGATTTTAAACATTGAATTATTTGTTGATTAAAATAACGAAATTTTTCATCTAATACTGCATCAATATAACTATGTTCAAAGAATATATATGATTCATACCATGGTAAAATCATTTCAATAAAATCTAATTCATTTTCACTAATAATCGGTAAAATTTCCATTAAAATATTAAATAATTCATTATCAGCATTAAATAATAATTCTTGGACACGTTTTTGATGTTCAAGATTATTTTCTTTTTGTTCATTGTCTTCTTCAATACTAACAGGATCATCGTTATCGTTTTGTAATGTTAATGTTATACGTCGATTAAATCTACCTACAGTAGTTAAATAATCTAATTGTTCATTTATAAGTGAACGGTTTTGATGTTTCCATTGTTTGAATAAATGCAAGGATATATATTCAAACATATCAAATGCTTGTGGGCGTCTATTAATAACTATATTAAGAAAAGCATTATCTGATGTTACTGATAAACATGATTGTAAACAAGTATTAAGTTGTTGTAATAATGATCGATCATAATAAGTTAAGGATTTCCATCCTATACTATTTCGTTCTATTGTATCTAATTGTTGGTCAAGATTTGTATGCATCTTTTTCTTTTTTTTTACGAAGTATTTCTTTCGTATGTAAACTTAAAATCATGTGAACATGTTCTCTTATCAAAGCAAGGTAAGATCGTATTTATCTTTCTTTAAAAACGGTTACATCATTCCTTTCAACCCATTTTACTATTAGTAGTAATTTTTTTTTTCTTGTCTTTTATTTGTACGATTTGAAAAATTTTAAAGAACAAAAAAAAGAACTAGTTATAGAGACATAATATGATAAATTTTAAAAGAGAAGAAAAAAATGTGTATGTGTGCATGATCTAATTAGAATAAAAAAAAACATTGTTTTGTTACGGTAGAGTACAAAAGAAAAAGTAGAAAGCAACTTTGTTCCCCTGCCATTGCTGTGCACATATCAATTCACATTAAGGTTATTTTAGGTATATGAGACAGAAAAAAAAAGGAAAAACATGTAAAAAAAATGCTAGCTGTTGTTATTATCGTTATCGTTACCACCCACACCACCACCAGAATAGAGTAATTTCGTTGATTAATAACCTGACAATTCGTTTAATGTCATGTCGAGTTCGTCGCTGACACCCTTGTACTTCTCTTTTTCTTGAAGTAATTCGTCTATGAAATAGAAGAGAAAAAAAGCAAGGTTTCAAATACTTTCAAATTAAATAATAAGAAAAATCTATATCCGAACAAACAACAAGAATAAAAAGCAAAAACATAGCCTTACGATTAAAAAAAATTGATCAGTAAATTTACACATACAAAATAATAATAGTAATAATAATAATGATAATAGTAATGATAATAATAAGACGTAGAAATAAAAGATTGAAAACTCATAACACACACACAACAAACAAACAAATAAATAATTTAAAGCACATTCTGAAGATCGTTGATCATAGAATCCATTTCACGTTGCAAACTCTTGCAGCGGACATTCTCAGATGTTATATCGCCTGAAACACATACACACACATATATGCAGGAATAAAAATAAGGAAACAAACATGCTTAAATCAAATAACAACATGCAATAATGTTAGTAATCTATGAGTTAAAGCAGGAATATAAATTTGTATCTAGTAGATTTCAAAGTGTGATGATTTTTATAAGCTAGTATTCGAATTTTTTCCCCTAGGCTAAGATTTAGGTTTAAGATGTATTAGCTCGATTGGTTTCAATGAAGATAAATGCTATATATATTATTTATTAAATGATTTATGTCGTCTTCTGACATGATAAAAACAGTAGGCAATAAACATTTCTTGTGTCTCGTATATTATCAAATGCTTATTCTAGGTCAAACAAGACAATCGATAAAATGACTGTATATAGACATGTTTACAATGCAATATGAGCTATTTTATCCTACATATATCTATCTATCTTAAAGTATCCCTCATCTATCTGATAAACAAGATTGGTAGGATAACAATACCTTTCAATTGATGTACTTGTCTCTGTAAGACAAGCATTGTACGTGTACCGTTCTCAGCTTTGTCTTCCGTCTAGATATATACATATACAACTAATATATACATGCAGCATGCAAATATTTATAATACAATAAATAAAGAAGAACAAAAACCCATGCAAAAAAAAAATAATAGGAGGCCGAATGTGCAATTGATTTATGTGTATATCTGTGCATATATTATTACCTTCGAGACGATCGACCTCCTTTTGTAGTTTGGCCATTGTACGTTCAGCAAGGTCAGCACGTTGTTCAGCCTATACTCATATGATTGATAGAAATTGTTTTATAGATTCTTTTATTCTTGAATTCTTTTTTGCATTTCTATAGTTTCCTCTACAAAAAATGAAAATTTTTAAACTTACATCTTTAAGACGTGTAGATAAATCACGAATTTGTTCTTCATAACTTTCTTCACGTTGCAGAGCCTATAAAAATAATAATATAAATCAATCATATTCATCATTAATTGTCTATTTTTATAAATAAATATCAAGCACAAAGGTTGGGTTTTTTGAAAACAATCTTGCAATAACATTCTCAAAATAAACTACCTCTTGTTCAGAAACTTCAAGTGATTTCATATTGTTACCAACAACTTTGAGTTCTTCTTCGAGTTCGAGAGCTTTTCTAAAAAATTACCAAAGAAAAAAAACAATATTTTACCTTGGTTAAAAACATTTCTTTCGAACGCAATTCATAATGCAAATGTTTCCAATCCTGTTCATATTGAGCAATTTTACTACAAGGAAAAAGTAAAACAAGCCCAAACACATGCTACAAGCATTAAAAATTATTTTATCATGCATACGCTTCGGTTCTCTGTGTACGGTCATCAATTCTTTCCAATTCACTTTCGCGTACTTTTAATTTACGTGCTACCTAGAATTAAAAGTAATGATATATATATAATACACTTCAAATCTCATGCGAAATAAAAGAAAAACTAGGTTAGTAGAAAAATCAAAAAAAACAACGAAAAAAAAAAAAGAAATTCTTCGTGCAATAGCTTTGAATGAAACACATTTCCGTATTTTCTTACGCTTCAGCAGCTTCGGCCCGATCTTCAGCTCGTTCCAAATCGACTTCCATAACAGCAATACGACGAGCAACCTGGACTTATATTGAAAATGGCTCGATTTTTTATTTCTTACGGTATATATATATATTCTATCAATCAATTAGTATATCTAATCACCTCGTCATATTTTCGATCGGAATCCTCAGCTATAAGTTGTGCTTCGGCCAATTGCTGTTCAAGTGTACCAATACGTTCATCAGATTGGTATGTACGTTGTTCAAGAGTTTTGCGACCACTTGTAATTTGAAAGAAGAAATAGATAAATATAAATAGAAGTAAGTATAAAAAAAGGATAACAACTTAAATCTGTCTTATCAACAAAAATATTTAGAAGAACAAGAAAAAAACAACTAGTGCAATGTGTTAGTAAAATCAAAAGGAGAAAAAAGAATTAAATAAATTATTAGTAGCTTATTTTTTTTTTAGCATAATTTTTATTGTCTACCTCATCATATTTTCTCTCATTCATATGGCCCAATTGTTTTGCCTCTTTGAGTAGCTGTTCAAGTGTATCATATCGGTTACCAAAACCAGACACTTTGCCATCAAGAATAAGACGTTTTCTAAAAAAGTTGTTTTTTTTGTCTTCTATACCTTAGGGATTTACTTAATACTATTCAGAATATTTATTTTTTTTTTCTGTTCGATTATTAGTACTTACCGTTCACTTTCATCGGCAGCATGTGATGCTTCATCAAGTTTTTGTGTAGCTTGAGAAAGACGTTCTTCAGTACGTTCAAGATCTTCTTCAACCAATTGTATACGACGTGTAACACCACCTATTTCACCTTCAGCCTTAAATAAAATAGAAAAGATTTAAATTTTTTTGTTTTGATCATTCGAAAACAAATCACACTTGTTCTCGTGCATGTTTTTCACGTTCACGTTCAATCTGATATGCATGCAAATCATCATGGGACTTAGCCAATTCATCTTTTATTTGTTGCATACGTTTTCGAATTGTATCAATAACAGAACTGCCTGAATCGTTCATCGATGATGAACTAGAACTTTGTTGTTGTTGTGGAGTACGAGTTAATGAACGTAATGTACCGTTATTTAAACTAGCAGACATTTTTTTATTTATCTTTTACAATGTATGAGTGATTGTGTATGATTAACAAAATTCTATCTTACTATAGACAACCATACTATACGTTATCAACCCCTCTACATCGATGAACCAGAATAGATGTCATAAGTATTAGTGCGACTATCTTGAACATTTTTATATACATTCAAATAAAATTCGGCGCCACCTACTCGATATGACTGATATATATTCAATATCAATTTTCTAATAATAATTAATTAAAAAGAATTCCTACATTAAAGTATGACATGAGTCATAAATTAATAAAAAAAAACGATTTTTACCATATTTTAGATATACAGTTATTTTTCCGGTGAAAAATGTAAAGTAAAAATACTCGTAGGCTATTTGTTTATTTATCTATTTCTATCGTTGGAATTCTCAATCAATCACAAAAATGCGAAAATCGATTAAGTAGGTAGCGAATGATGAAGGGCAAAATAAACTTGAGAATACTTACATCAACTGCAGCCTTCTCTTTAGCTTCAAGTTTAGCATTAGCTTCAGCTAATTGTTCTTGAACACCATCAAGTTCGGCTTCAGCCAGTTGAATTTTCTTTTGTAAACTAGTGCTCTCTTCTTCTGACTAAAATTTAATTTTTTTTGAAATAAAATTATGTATATGTATATTAATAAATCTAACATACTAATTTAAGTTTTTCTTGAAGATCTTGTTGACGTTGTTCGGCTTGATCAGCACGATCAGCGGCATTATCCTTTTCAACTTTCAACGATTGCATTTTCTTTTTGATGGAATCCATCGAAGCTGATGTATTAGCATTTACTGCCATGTTGACCGATTGAAATTTTTCAAAAAAAAAGAAAGTTGAAGAATCTAAAAAGAATATATAAGGTTAATAATACCAAAAAAATGTACAATATTGATATACTAAGAATATGTTAGTCAACAATAAATCCAGAAAAGAACTGTGCCTAAGTTAGATAGAGACCTTATAGAAGAAAAATGTATGCCTATATGCCAGATGAAAACAACATCAACAATAAATCTTCGATTGGATAGGCTGGCTATATGAAGGTATCCTCTCATTCTTGTATGTATTTCCTTGTTACCCTACTTATATTCGATTGGTACTAGCTAGTAGGCGACGATGAAGAGAAAAAATTGTGGTTTATTAGTTGCGCATAGATTTGTATACATATATGGATGCATATACAAGAAATAGATAGATTTAGCTTCTTTTTTCTTTTCTTCATATATATATATATATATATATATATTTATTCGTCATCAGCATGCCTGTTGTTAACTATGAGCATACAGTTAATTGTGGGATAGTATCTTTCTGTCTTCGCTTGATTGTATTTTTCTCTTATGTCCTGTCCTGTACGACATTGGACAAACCGTGATTGTTACTCAGGCGAAGAAAATCCAAAAATATTTACGCCTTAGAATATCGACGTTAGCAATGTGTTTGCTTAACGAAGAGCAACAATTTTTCTTCTGATTGATGTTCGGCTGTTCTTAGGTACGATTAAGAAAATCATATTAGTATTGGTTATAATGCTATATGAGAAGAAAATAGAAAGATGTAAAGAACGAGCTTTTGCATATCTGATTATCATTGACTATGAAGAACAAACGGGATAATCTTTTATCTGTTGCTCTTACTCTGTACATATGTCTACATATTGTTATATGACATTACCATCCTAAATGGAAAAAGAAATGTCGTATATCTCCAATTATTTAAATATATAAACATACGAGAGAGAGAAAGAAAGAAAAAAAAAGTAAAGCTAAGAATAATAAACAATATTTAATAGCAATTTCAATCAAGAAAAAAAAATAAAGAGCAAATAATTCAATTTTGTTTTTTCCACCTTTTTAACTAGTTTCAAATGTTTTTTTTTTTCATATAGTAAATGAAAATTGTATTCATCAACAATAAGAATAATTAAATGGTATTGCAAACGAGAAAATCAAATTTCGTAATGTTACAATATGTCTTCAGAGAGTCATATTGACACAATTGAAATGTACTTGCTAATATCCAACCGTTAACTAATATTTATTTGACTATCTTATATCATATATTTTTTTATCTGCAATTTGATTTCTATTAATCATAAACAAACAATTTTTTGTATATGTAAAAAGTCAAGGTCATTAGTAAAAATAATAATATTTATGACTCTGTTGAGTTTCAACCGAAGTGATAACTTTTTTCTAATAAGATAAATTCTTGTATTCATCGATTTTTGTGAATATAGAAGAAAAATAGTATACATCAATGATCTTGTGATGTATCGAAGCAGAAAAATAAACGAATGGCAGAATTGCAAAGTCTGATAAACATGTTGTATAATCGCGATAATTATTATCTAATGATGGTCGCAGAAAAAAGTTGTTATCACTCTGCAATACGAATGATCTATTAAAATCTTCACGTCATGTTTTAACCAAATATGTTATTAATATTATTTTGTAGCTTTAGATAAAAATAAACCTTGGCGAAATCAATAATCAATATTTCATATTAAATATATATAATTACAATTTATTTCAAACATCAATCACGGCTTATACGTAAAACTAAATGACAATATATGTCGGTGTCTAGATCGATTATAATATATCATTTTCGTTCATTGATTTTATAGTAAATACTCATTGTATGCGCATAACGTCTATTTTTATTCTCTTATGCACTTGGATTGCATAAACAAACAAACAAACATTTTTTTTAATCAACGGTGATTTTACTCTTGCATCATGTCAATATTTTTTTTGTACATATAGAAAAATAATCGAAAGACACCGGTTATTATTATACTTTCTACATACGCAAATAGATTATAGTTTCAATGACATTATTGTCTCTTTTTGTAATAAAAAATCTATTGACAGTATTAGAAGGACATATAATTTATCTTCAAAATTAAAAAAAAAAAGAATCAAATATCAAAATTTGATTTAAGGTAATTAACATACAGTTTTATAAAAATATTTTCTAAAACACGTTTAAAGAATTCAATCGAAAAAGAAATTTATTAAACTTAATATCACAATTTAGCTTTTATTTATGATTAAATTAATACCAAAAATAGTAACTCTTTGCTGCCGCTGCCACCATATTTTGTTGTTGTTGTCGTGCTTCATAAAATTGATGGTATTGTTCAGCAGGATAAAATGCTTGAAATGGTACAACTTCAGTAACAACGGGATATGGTCTACTCATTCGTAATTGATTAATATATTTGGTTGCTATATCCCATTGACTTGGACTATGATAGAAGATAGCTGATCGATATTGCGGACCAACATCTGCACCTTGTCGATTCATTTGTGTTGAATCATGACTTGAGAAGAATATTTGTAATAATTGTGGAAATGTTACTAATTGTGGATTATATGTTACTTGAACTGTTTCAGCATGGCCCGTTTGTCCGGAACGAACTTGTTGATATGTTGGATTAGCTACATAACCACCTGAAAAACCAACTATAGTTGATATGACACCGGGTACTCTTGAAAAAACTGTTTGCATACGCCAAAAACAACCACCAGCAAACGTAGCGACTTCCATTTGATTTGTTTAGTTTGTTATTGGGAAAATGAAAAAATAACCAAAATATTGTACAATATATATATGCACATACATGCCTAATATAAAACTACGTCATTTTAATGACAAATATAGATTTATTTGACTCATTTTGCTAATAATGACACCCACACATGATTTTTACTCAGTTATTCAACCGAAACAAAATACAAAAAACACAACAAAAATCGTTTGTGAATCATTTGTTATTTCTCCAAACAACTAATTAAAATAATTTATTCAACATTAGTTGTAATTCGCACGGTCGATAGACTTAAAATACAATTGTAAAAATTAGTAAACATAAAAGTAATTTGTCATATAAGAAAAATAATTTACTGTTATTCAATATTATATATCGATTGATTGTATTGGTCAAGAGAAAAAGAACAAGTGTTTGTCATATTTCGTTATCTGTACACAAAGAAATGATTGTCTATAAAAACAATGTCTATCGCCATATAACAATAACTTTGACAGACTATGGCGAGAACTTTTCCCATATGTTCATCACCTTTATACGCACGTACATATTCTCTTTCTAGATGCAAAGAATGACAAACGAACAATTCTTCTTTTTTTTTTTCTTCTTTCGTCGTCGTCGTCGATGGCGAAAGAGAGACTTCATTTTTTGTTCTTTACTTGCTTTTTGAATACACATATATGCTGTATAACCTCACATACATATATGTATATGCCCTCTTGCTCGCTCGCTCGCTCGTCGAGAGTAGCATCAGCAGTAGACAGAGAGAAAAAAAAGAGGACGAAGAAGAATATAGTCCCTTTCTCTTCATATAAAACGAATCATTCGACCACTATTTTTTCCTTTTCTATCACAGTAATACTACTATACCTAAGAATTATTCTTCTGTCAGTAGAGAAGTGCACATTTTTTTTTGCTTCGTCCTCATCATATATGATGCCGGACATTACCACAAATGAGGAACTACAACAACAACAACAAATCAAATATGGTGAATTAGTTGTACTTGGGTACGTTAAATATTTTATCCGATATTATTTTTTTTGCCCCTAAATTCTGTATAATAGAATAATCTTTGTCAATCAAAGATAACTGTTAATAGTAGATATTTGTCGATAATTAATTGTTACCGATATAATATCGTTCAGTTTATCAGTTATTTGAAGATAAGCAAATAAACAATTGATGTTTTATCATAAACTTATCTAGTTGAACTCTTCAAACTTTTTGAGTAAACATATTATTTTTAATCAGACATTTAAAATAATCAACCTTGATAGATTTCACTAATCTCTTGATAAAAACAAATTGAAAATATATTACCATATAATCAAGGTTGTAATAAATAAAATAGGGTACTATGAGTATCATATGGTAGACATGCAATCTTGTTGTTATGTCTTTATATATATATTTAACTTTAAAAGTACTTATCATATATTTTTTTTATTAGATACAATGGACAAATTCCTAGTGGTGATCGTGGTAGACGAAAAAGTAAATTTCAACTTAGACAACGTACACAAGCCAATGGTCTTAAAGCACAACGACAACATTTATGTAAAAATGCTGATGAAGTACAGGTAATAAAATAAGTTAATACATAGTATCGATAAAGATATCTTTGACTTTGAATTTCTTATGGATATGATGATAGGCAGAAACGAAGAAGAAGAAGAAGATGAGAAATTTTGTCTATGATGCAATCATATGTGTGTATGTGTAATCGATATTGATTGAATGTGAGACGAGTGTGGATTGATTGTACACATATTGCGTGTGAAACTATCAGAGAGCAATAGGCTTCGTGTAAATAAGCAGATGGATACATACTTCTTTATTAAAATGTAACTGATGTTTAAGATGATTGTAGCAGATGCTTTACTTTTTTTTCGTTTTAGAAATTAACTCAAGCTGATTTTCATTCGATATCATATACTCTATCGAGAAATCAAACTGTTGTTGTACAATATGCGTTTGATGAAGATTCTGATATGTTTCAGATTGGTCGATCATCAGAAAATCAAATCGATTGTATTGTTATGGATACTGTTGCTGGAGCGAAAACATTCGATGATTTAACTGTACCACAATCAACTATATCACGTTATGCATGTCGTATTGTTGTTTCACGTCATTCACCTTATACAGCTCGAATATTTGCTGCAGGTTTTGATGCATCAAAAAATATTTTTCTTGGAGTATGAGGTTTTAAACAATCTCCTTTGTATTTATTTAATTTTTTTGTTTTATTAGGAAAAATCTATTAAATGGAAAAATGATCGTAATGAAATGGATGGTGTAACAACAAATGGTATTTTAGTAATGCATCCGGAAGGTGATCAATTTGATACAAATTCGAAACCAACAAAATGGAAAGAAGTATCAGTTGGTGGAAGTGTTTTTGATTTAGGTGAAGGACGATTAAAATTCAATTATCAATTAACAGTAAAGAAATTAAGAAAAGAAAATATTTATATATATATGTATGTATTTATTTATAGCCTCCATCAAATACAGATAATATTCTAAAAGATGGAAGTCTTATTGATTTATGTGGAGCAACACTTCTTTGGAGATCAGTTGAAGGTCTTAAAAATACACCGGTAAATAAATTTTGGAATAAAAATGTTAATTTTTATAAATATATATATATATATTTAGACTCGTCGTTTACTTGAAATGGAATTAGATCAATTAAATTCGAAAAAACCTCAATGTCCTGTTGGATTAAATACATTAATAATAAAAAGTCAACCATTTTCTTCGACATCTTCAACACAACCAAATGCATATGTATATGTTTTATGTGGACATGTTCATGGTAATCATAAGTGGGGTGTTAAAAATGATAATAATGAATCACGTGAATGTCCTCTTTGTCGAACAGTTGGTCCATTGATTCCAATTATACCAGGAATTGAACCAGCTTTTTATATTATACCCAATGCAGATAATGAATCAACAACATCATATTGTTTTCATCCATGTGGACATATGACTTCTCAGTCAACAGCATTATATTGGTCAAAAATTAAAGTACCTTATGGTAATTAAATATCTTATTTGAATATTTATCGATAAAATGATGTTTTTTTCATAGGTACTAAAGGTTTGAAATCCATATGTCCATTTTGTTCAATAGCATTATCAGAAACGAAACCATTTGTACGTTTGATTTTTCAAGATTCCATTCATAGTAGACAGTAAAATAAGAATCAATGTATGAATTTATATTTTTTTACTGAATGTTTTTTTTTCTTTTGCTTTGTTTATATGTATGTGTATTATTTTCAATATTTCACATGTATAATGATCGATTATGCACATTGTATAGAAATAAGAGATTATAATACGTATCATTGTTTATGATATTGATGATTAATTCTTCCTATTAGTGAATTTAACATCTAATAAGTAAAATTTACTCATTTATTAAGAAATTCTTGAAATGTAATTAGTATCTTGTTTTGAAATCGTGTCATAAACAACTTAATTTCTTACAAATAAGTCAAGGCAAATATTATACCTTGATGTATATATTGTGTAGATGAATGTACTTTAGAAAAGTAATTGATGTTACTTGAAGGTTTTATATATGCAAAGGTAAGATTAACTCAAATTATATTGATATATCCTTCAAGAAAAATCGATCGTCTATTGGAAGTACATTAGTTTGTAAAATGTATGTCGAAGTATAAAAGCTTTTAATAAGAAAAAGTTGTATTTTTACATGGAATTTTGATAAAAGACCTTCCGTTACAAAATATGATCCATTTAATATTGACTTTTTTTAGGACAATCTTCGTCTATTAATAATATTATCGTTAAATAAATGTTCATTCTTCAGACAATCGGAGATTAATATCTTCCTTGATTTTATTTTATCGATATCTAATGATTTATGACGTCATTAACACTATTTCTCAACTAATTTGCTAGAACTTCTTCATTTATTCACGAAGATGGTAAATGATGAAATATGAAATCTTAATAGATAATGTAAATGAGTTGTAAAAGAATGCAACTACTAATAAATTTGATTGATGCGTTCGACCAGTGTCACCATCATTGAATAACAGGTATAAATACATTAGAGTATGAGGGCGGAAACATGAACGTATATATATATGAACACAATACACCATCTCCTTAATGATGATGCAAGGCGGAAATATTGATTGTGCTAAGCTTTTATTTATTCATTATTTAATTGATTCATTTCTATAGAATACATAAAAAGTGAATTACTCAAGGGAGTAATGACCAATTTTTCTTATACTCCATGGATTTTCAATGTACTTCTAGGGACTTGGAATCTTGTGCGTGTAGATGTGAGGTGCAAAGACAGTTCATACCCACTCTCAAGATGGTTTCTAATGAATTATTAGTTTTTTCTTGGTTAATTACTGTCGAATGAGCCGTTGTGATGAAGGAGAAAAAAAACAATCAATTATTTGTCAATTACTATTCGAACGTGATCAAATAGTTGTTCTATAAAAAAAGATCTTAATTATATTTATTTAATAGAATAGAATTTGTGTTATTTTGGATACGTATAAATAATCGTTCTTTATCTTACTTATGTATCGATAAAATGCGGGACTTCTTTTCTTTTTATCATAATTACAGTCAAGAGTGTATTCTGAATGTTTACAAAAAAGCCTGATTATATCTTGCACTAATAACTTTCTTCTGTCAACACTTATCATACGCAAAAGCAAAACAACTAAAAAACACGCTTCGATTCATTCAAAATATATCGTTTGTTTTTCTTTTATTTTTTCATTTTTATATGAACGAGTGCCTCCTGTGAGAATCCGACAGGCATTATCTATTATAATAGATTAGATTTAAGGTAAGTGCTGTGAGACATATCGTAGACAGATTTTCTTATGTCATTTTTAACTTAATCAATATGAATATAGAGAGAAGAAGTTTTCTAGCACAACGATATAACGTTGATCTCTAACCTTTATTTTTAGATATCCAATTTTTAAGTTATAGGGAAGCGGAAGAATTAAAACGATAGTTGTTTTCTACAACAGAAATAGTACAGTATTGGAACATAGAATTTGTTTCACTTATTCTAACGACACCAATAGTCACACTTAAAAATGGATGCGAGAGATGAACTATCTTTATTCGTATAGCTCATGTATCAGCCAGTCGTTTTCCTTTTCATTCAAATCGATACAGTACAATATAATGGAGAGGTGCAAATAAACAACGCGTACTATTTCCTTTTGAGTAAATGCTACAACTTGCTTCCCTGACTAGGTGTTATGGATGTCAGAATTTATTGTTCTTGAACTTTTCATTCTTGTTGATTCTTTGCAGAATTTCCAAATCTTACCGAGGTCGTCTTAATATCAGAAGATGAAAAATAAATGGTTGGAATACGCCAGATAACACTGCCTCTCATCAGAACTTACTTGGTGACATTTTAGTTTGTTTTTCTTGTAAAGTTTGCAAAAACATTCATATTGTATTTATTCTAGCATTAAAATGTCGCATTGATTATGAAAAAGTTATAACTATTCAAAATATTATCATGAAACTTTGTACGTCATTTTGATTTGAATTATTTAACAGAAAATCATAATAAAAATGTTCATGAGAGCGATCATCCAAGAGGGCAAGCAGTGTAATAATATTATTTTTGAAAAGATGGTTGTTTTGTTCCTCAGAAAATTTGTTGGATACTTAAAACTTCTACCATAAAAAAAATAATAGTCATTCTTATTATAAACCGAAAATAATCTTATTCTTTCTCTGGATTCCGGTGATTTTGTTGTAAATCTTACTTCGAATGTCACTCACTATTTTCGATAGTATAAATACATAACAAAGAAACGCTGTAGACTATCAGAGTTTTTCCTATGCCTGAATGCAGTTGATTTTCTAGTTTATTCGCGTTTTGATGAGAAGACATCAGTTTAACTTTTTAGTTTTCTAAAATCTCGTTCTTTTTACTAGTTACAAGAAATATGTCATCAAATGAATCGATTCCTGCCGATTCTACAGCATCAACATTGTCATTAAATCGAGTTAAATTTGGCGTTTTTCTGAGCTTACAAATTCCATCAGCGATTTGCTCAATATATGTTTTTAGTCAATACATGAAACGGCCAAACTTTCGTCAGTCCATCCATAATCATGTTGTCATTGTACTTCTTTGTAGCAGCTTCATTTTTGTTACTGTTCCAGTATCTGCCAGCGAAGCATTCTTTTTTACAGCACATGTTCGACCTGAAAGTAATCTTTTCTGTGCTATATGGACATGGATTCATTATAGTATCAATATTAGTAATCTCATTCTCATGGGTTTTGCTTGTGCAGAACGTCATTGGCTTGTTTTTCGTTTAAATGCAATGCGTACTCGTCGTAGTCGAATTCTTTATCATTATATTCCCATTGTTTTATGCATGATCTATCCATGGATATTTTATTTTATATTTATTTTTCTATATCCATGTGAACCTGCATATGATTATAATCAACTTCTTTGTTTAATACCATGCTATTTCTTTACCAATAGCATTGCCAATACAGATACATTTATGAATAATTGGATTCCAATTTTTGCAATTCCTATTCTTAGTGGAGCTCTTTTCATTCGTTTTATTTTACAAAAACAACGAATGCAAATTGAAGTATTTCGATGGAAACGAGATCGAAAAATGGTAATTCAGTTATTAAGTATAACATCACTTTATATTTCAGGATGGGCACCATTGCAAGCTGCAACAATTTATGACAATATTGTTTTAGGTGGAGTAGCTCCTCCATTTGTTGTTGCTTATTTTTATACATTTCCATATTTCGTTCATTTATTTTATCCATTTGTTGTTTTACTATCGAATCCAGAACTTCGAGGACGAATTCGAGATATAAGACCACAAGCAACTTAACAATTTCAAAAAAAAATCATTAAAATTGACAAATAACCATCATCAGTGCAAATCAAATATCGGTTTATGTCACCTATTCAACTGATGCATCGATGAACAATTCTAAGTATTCTTTTTTAAGTCAACCCTGCGTTTTTGTGTTCTGTTTTCATTACGCGTACATCTGCTTTGATTGTTTATCTATCTCTGTTCGTTTCAATATTGTCACTGTACTGTACGAAAAAAATAAATAAAAGACAAAGAAAAGCCTGACGTTTATTTTCTGTAATGAAATAATTTTGATTTCTTCTTCGATACGATTTAGTTACGCTAACTAGTGTGGGATGAAAAAAAGGAATTTGCATAACATTAAGGCATTGTATAGTTCTTTTAGAAAACCATGTTGTTGTATATAGATCATTTTCAATTCATCAATAGTTATATACATGATTTTATGTATGATAAACGCTGGTATCCAACAACGTTTTGTTGAACTTTTCAAGACTCTTCGACACAACATCTTCTCACTAAAATGACTCAGAAAACTGTGCACCACAAGGATAAGAATATTTATCGATCGAATGAGTAGATATTCAACAGAATTTTCTCTGTATTTCATATCTCACGTGATATTTTTATCATTTCTTGCATAAAGGATAGATGTGAGTACAAGTATTATATGCAGTTGCAGGTATATTCTCAACATAAAGAACATAAATTAATGTTGTTAGGCTCTTTAATTGATTAATTGAGGGTCCGGGTGTCTAGTTTCTCTTAACTCACACCCCACACCCCTTTTTGTTTCATGTTTCTTCTAATGTCGGAATGGAACATAATTAAAGTCTCAAATGACAACTAAAATATAAAAAACTTCATAATCTAGGTTTCCAATCTTCAATTCTTGTCTTCCCTTTATATCTATACACCAGAAGATATACAGTAATCTTGATTCTAGCGACATCTTCTTCTATTAAAACATAACATAAAAACAAAAAATAATCTTTTATTTCATGTAATTTTGTAGTTTGATAAATAAAAAAATCTAAAACGTATTTAACTTATTCAAATGAATTGTCATATTTACAGTGGCTAATAAATCAAATTTAATTGGTTAATACTGACCAATGAAAATCTATACGACAAACGATCAAATAATAAACAACAAATACGTTATACGCCGTATTTTAATATAAATAAGCACGTGAATTACAAAACAAATAAAAATCAATCATCCTGTTTTAGATTTGTTTAGCTGACTATAAAATTTGAATTGAAAATGGCTGGTCCTTTATTACGAATTCGTGTTTGTATAAAACCAAATAAATTTCATCGTATGCAAATTGCTGCTCGATATCGTATTATTGATTTATTTAAACAAATAGCACATGATTTACATTTAACAGTTGATCAATTAATACATATATCAATATATCGTAATGGACCAAATGGTTGTTCATTGCTTTATCCAATGGATAATAATTTTAATAGTGCACATTATGATGTATCAGTAACACTTGATAAATATGGTTTATCAAGTAATGAAGAACTTTATATTGATTTAACTGAATTAATACTTTGTCAAGAACAAGATAATGATGATATGACAACAAATAATAATCATACAACAAGTTCATTAGATAATTCAGATTGCTTTCATTCAACAGCATCATCTTTACATAATTCAAATGAATTATTACCACCATCATCATCATTAATTCCAGCTAAGACAACCAATAATTTATCAACAAACAAATCTCTTATTGGACAACTTATACGTTTTTCTGTTCCGGCTGATAATAGTTGTCTTTTTTCATCAATTTATTTTGTTTTACATTCAGGAAAATTAGATTTAGCATCAAATAAATATTTACGTAATTTAGTTGCAACAAAAATAGAATCGGATCATATAACTTATTCAGAAGCTATGCTAGGTCGAACAAATTCTGAATATTCAAAATGGATCCGAAGAGGTAAAAATTAAAATGTTTACTTTTATTTATTAATTTTCATATATATATATATTTCTTTTCAAGATGATTCATGGGGTGGTGGAATTGAATTAGCTATATTAACACAAGAATATGAAATTGAAATTTGTGTTATTAATACCGAATGTGGTGGACGTATCGATTATTTTGGAGAAGATCGACACTTTCCTTATCGAGTTTTTCTATTATATAATAATTTACATTATGATCCTGGTAAGATTATAATACTAAATGTCAAACTATACATATAGAATATATTGACTAAACTATGCTTGCATTAAAGAGAGATAATAGAATGTAATCAGATGTCTGGTTTTGTTAAGAACGTTAATCTATCGAAAAGCGATTTATGAACACGAAAACTTGTGAATAAACAGCTAACGTAAAAACTCTAAAATACAGTTTTCTACAAGGACAGAAATATAAACAATTTTATAGGACAACCAAATATGAATAGAACTATAATTCTTTCAGGATATTTTACCGAAATTCTGTAGTATCTAAAGACAAACATCAGTAAGAGTTTTATCTAATTTATTAGTTACTATGTCATACAATAGAAAAAAGATTCATATATAGTGGAAATAACAGACATCTTTCTTATCAGAGTCCAAATGGATCCTAGGAAGTGAACCAAACTTTTTTTCAATGAGTAAATACTTTTCGTGAACCTCAGTCGACTCTATCGAAGTGCTTTGATAGTATAAACGGTGATTGAAAAAACATTGGTTCACTTCCTAGGACCGTTAAAATGTTATCTTATCATCATCTCATCCTAAGTTACTATTCCAATTAATTTTCATTATATAATCACATAATTATGTAAAAAAAATTTTGTAATTCAAAGTACGTCAGATTTGATTTGGTATTATGGTCAGGGGTGCACAATCTTCAGTAAAAACGAAAAATTCCCCCCGAACGCAGAAAAATCAATCAAAAATTTTCCCTCAGTATTGAAGTAAAACAAATGTTTGTTTTAAATATTTTTATTGAAGAAATAAAAAGAGACAAGGGACTACAGTATGTTTAAAATATAGTCTATCCTAACGAACACATCAGATCACTTACGTATAAAATAATATTTTCATCTAAAAAACTTTCCTTATTATTTCCGGATAGAAAAAACTTCCTCAAACGCGCGTTCGTGTAGAAGGCCATATTCTTTACCCCTGATTATGCTTATAAGTAATGTTAGAGTTAAAAATGAATTTTACTAGTATTAAATCTTTACATAATAAGTTTATTTGAAAAATACTGTATAACATTAACATGTTTATATAAGATCCTCGAGCTTTTCATTCTATTAACAACATATCTTTATTGTTTAGTATATTTGGTAACATATGATGTTGTACAACAAAAAGAATTAATACAAACAAAATTTCACCGTAATGACGAAGCAATTCTTACATTAGCAAAAGATCTTGTTGACCAATTTAATTCATCAACTTCTGATGATACACATCATTCAACATCTTATAAAAAGAATTCATCTGGAACTAGTAGTGAATCACATTTAATGCATGTTAAAATTTGAGAATGTTTTCTTCGCATGCACAAATTGAGAACAGTGCCAACGTGAATTCTTATGCACAAAATTATCAACAACAAAAAACAAATAATTATATATACATATATATTACTAGTGTGATCTTTGCTTCTCTCATTGTATGTTAATTTTCTTTTTCTTTCATTGCATCTTCTTAATATATAAATATATAGAAATTTATTTTTTGTCTTTTTCTTTTCACACCACCAACGTATGTAAATAAATTATATACATGTCAATTATTATATGAGAAAAAAAATAAATAAATACTCTTATAACCTGTATTTCTCTTTTTTGTTTTTTACTAAAAAAAAAAAAGAAAAAAAAAAGAACAAAATCTAATTAGAAAAGAATGGTTGTCTTCAATTCAGATTTTTATTATTTATTTAAAAACGAACAAACAACAACAAGATAATAACGATGATGTAAGTCTATTATGCTTTTAACACTGCTCACATGTAATGTGTGCTAATGTCACTTTCCTACTGGTGATACTTGTTATGAATGATCCTTTTTAGCATGTTGTAAAATTACTGATTCTTGTGTAATTGTTTTTTTCTGATGATATTAGCATGAATATTATTAAACATGTGATTGGATAAAATACATAACTTATTTCAAACGATTACGAACAGAGTATAAGATTTACCTTTCGTAAAAAAAATATCCCACAAGTGCAAAGCGCTGACTTTTAGTTTACTGTTGAATGGAGAAAAGTCTAATATTTATGTTGTAACGAAGTTCTTTTCGGAGAAGTGAAGCTATAATATTTACTGATTGTATTCTTCACATATGTATTTCCCTTTCGTTCTGCTTTATTAGTTTTTTTCTTTACCACGTGACATATGCAGTTCCTTTTGTTCTGTTTGATTCATTTTTTCTTTTACATGTCACATGTATTTTGATCTTTCCTTAATTTCTCTATATATCACGTGATCGTATGTATTACGTCTTTCGATATTTACCTCAATCGCTGTACCTCGACAATCCGATAAATACTTCCAGAAGGTGTGTCATCAGCTACCGTATATATAGTCTGTAATTTTTCGTAAATAAAACCTATTCACAGTCGATACTATGGCTGCATCAACATCATCATCCTTGGCGACAAGTCAAGCGAAAATGCACTCCAACGCAGAACTTCTGAAACTTAAGAACGATACACTATTGACATTAGAACGTGATCAACAAAATACTGACATAATTATAGATGCAAATCTGAAGCGATATTCTGATAGAAATGAACAGCAAGTATCACTACTGAAAAAAAATATAATCAATAAACATTATAGTTTCACTTTTCCGAAAAGAATTTCGATACAACATATAGCCTCAGTATACCTCATTCAACTACTGCTTTTTTTCTTTCAAAAATTTCATTAACACGAATAAAACTGAATTTCAATTATTATAGGACTGGAAATCTTATATCATCATCAGCAGCTGTTGATCGTCCAGTAACCTTTGAAAATGTGCCTGTACCTTCCAAAGGTAATTATATACAATCTTTTATTATTTTGAATATTTATTATTATCAAATTTGCATATTTCTAAGTTATGTCTCGGTTTTATCATACTGACAAATTCTATATTTTTAGGCTAGTAAATTAAATTTAATGGTAGGTTACACTATCTTGCTCGTTATAGCTTTGTTCTTAAAGAATAATTTTTGATTCTTTCAAAAAAATGAATAATTTCTTCTTCTTATCTTTGCGTTTTTAATCAATGATGAAAAAAACATTTATCATAATTAGTGACTTTTTTTTTTGATAGAATCTTTTGCTTTATAAATAAAAAGAAACATCGTGTACTGATTTGCACTTTAGAATAATTAAATTCTAGTATAGTTTATAAATAAAAAAGAATAAACATTTCGAATAAAAAACAAGAATATTTATATTATTTGTAAAACTAAAGTGTATGTAAAAAGAAAAAGAAGAACGAAAAAAGAAAGAAAAAAAGAATGTTCGGGCATTTTTCTTTTTCTAATCGGTACGATGAATCTCTTGTCAGTGAGTAGTAGTAGATAGTTTTATCACACAATATATAAGAAGAAAGCATTTGCAACCCTTATTTATTCTTTGAAAAAATATCAATTATGTCGAAACGATCTGAAGAGAATAATAATGAAGGACGTATAACAGATATGAAAGAAAATACAGCAAAAATAGATATAAATGCTTGGCGAAAACATCCTGCATTTACCAATGTTGATAATTCTTTAATACTTCAAAAAGGATCTGATCAGTGTGAGTAAATTAGTATTATTAGATGACGATATAATTATAAATTTTTCTTATTGAAATATATTTTCACATTGGGTTTTTTTTCAGCATGCCGAGATCGACTTGTTCGAACACCAACTATTATTGTATGTAAAACTTTTTTTTCTCTTTATTATTGAACTCATTTTCTTTTAAATATTAAAGGCAATGGCTGGATTACCAGCCCGAGGCAAAGTAAGATTTCTTTTTTTGTATATTAATCAATAACAATCAACTTGATTTTAAGACATATATTTCACGTAAATTGGCTCGTTACTTACATTGGATTGGAATTAAAACAAAAGGTATGCTTATAACATAAGATCAAAAGATTATACAGTAAATAAGATATGAAATGTTCGTAAAATCCTAAAGGTTATTGAGTATTAACATTCACTATATTATT